ACCCTCCGGCGTTGTAGGCGGGTGTGGGAAGCGTTCCCCGTTCTCCTTTTATTTTATTTTGATCGGTCTCCTCGACGCTCTTTCTCGTTTGGTGCGGTAGCTGGTCTTTCTTTCTGTCATTTTGTTTCTCTTCCGAGTGGTTTTTGGACCCTATTTTTTTCTGTTTCTTCGTGGGGTCGTGTATGCCGGGTTTTGAGACCACGGGCTCCCAATCTTTTTCTTTAGAGCTAATGTGAGAAACAACAACAACAACAACAAACTACGGAGTTTATCGACGAACGCCTTATGGCCATGAGGTTTCTGTTGGCAGGTCACCGTGGAGCGGTCAACTTCGTAGCCGCGTATGCTCCAACCGAACCTTCAACCGCCGACAGCAAGCGCGTGTTCTGGGGGAAATTGACAGTCTCGTGCGGAGGATCCCTTCCAAAGAATGTGTGTATGTCCTACTGGACGCCAACGCGCGGACGGGAGATAGGTTGGACGGAGGGGACGGACGGGTAATAGGAATGTACGGGCGTGATGAGCTCAACGACAATGGCATGCTACTGTTGAACTTCGCAACGGAAAATAGGCTCTCACGAACACGTTCTTTGAGACACGCACGAGCGGAATATGGCACACATCCAACGGTGTTATTAGATATATTGGGGGTACTCGTAGCATAGTATGACGGGTAAGATCTTCAGTACGTACGTACGGAAATTGCAGTGATGAGATGCGGAGGAATCAGAGAGATCCGTTAGGCCTGTCCTCCATCGGCCGTTTTGCTTGTATGACGGAGAATAAGAAGGTGGAATTACTTGAAATTAGTATAGAAATATAGTTTGTGTATCTAAATCGAAAATAATACGGCCGATGGAGGACAGGCCTAGATCCGTTTGGTAGTTCGAGCGTGATGAGCGTGACGCGTGCTTGATGCCGTGACAGATTTACGAGCACGAGCACGCCCCCGAAGAACACAATACCTTTTCCTATACGTCCCTCCCCTATCACGGCCCGTCATGGCCCAGCTGCTCTACACTCCCAACACACAGAACTGAGCCACCCGAATTATCGACCACGCTACAGTATGACACGTCGTCAACGATATTCGCGTCGAGCTTAGTTCTGAGTTACATTATCGCTTTGCGGCGATCAGCAGCAGTCACCAATGAGCACCCCCGACCGAAACCGAGACCGAGAGAGCCACCGTCAAGCAGTGGACGACGACGCCCGGATCAACGAGTTGGTGAACGAGAGGGTAGCAGCGAGACTGGCCGAGATCACAAGGCAACAAGACGAGCAGCAGCAGAGGACAGATCACGCCCGGAGCGGGAACGACCACGAGACACGCCACCAGCAACATGCGGGGCGACCATCGGCCGGCCCGTCCACAGACGACATCGCCCGCACTCTCGTCGACGCCCTGACCAGCCGTCTTCAGATAACACCCGCAGACACGCGTAGAGTAGCAAGTCAGCGCTGACTAGTCAAATAGTGTAACTTTATCGAATAAAAGATACACGCTCAGCTCGTTTGCACCCGGCCGGATCACATCGTTGGGTTCGTGAGTAGAGATCTCCGGGGATGGACCCCTCGCCAGACGCTGCCTGAAAAGAACTTAATGGTGCTTGGGAAAGTGAGCAGCCAGGATCCGAACCCGTGCGTGCATCCTTCAGCTCCAATTGTTAAACCATTAGACTAGTCAGCGCTGACTTGTCTAGACTAATGGTGTAGTCTAACTCTATCTTATAGGTGTGTCGGGAAACGATTGCAAGCGCCTTGAGTACATGCTGACAAGGCAGGAATATCACGGCCGAGTATCTAAGGTGGTCGTCATCCCCCAGCCGGTTCGCCCAGTCAAAGCAGACTCAGACCACAATATGGTAGTAGCCACCGTCAACCTCGGTGGCAGGCTTGCCCACAACCGTGCAGTCCGGACTAAACCGTAACAGAAGCAATTCAACCGACGGGAACTGCAGTTCGAAGCAGCACGGTGTGCGGTGACTAATCGGTTCCTCCTCAACCTTGACACACGACTGGACGAGCGAACAAGCACCGCCGCGGAATTGGCGACCGACTTTACCAATGCTCTCCTGGACGCAGCGCGGACGACCCTGGGGGAGGAACGGCGGAGACGCCGCACGCAGGAGTGGTGTGAGACCCCAGAGACGCGAGCAGCGCTGGAGCAGGCCCTTCCAAAACATCGGGAAGCGCGCCGGGCGATGAGGGGCAACTGGAACTCAGTGACGTGAAGGGTTCTAAAAGCAGCGTGTAAGGGAGTGACTACAGCAGTCGAAACGGGCATTTATGCCCACCTGGACGGATATGTGACTGAGCTCGAAAAAATCTACAAAGATCGCGACATGCGAGGACTGTACCAACACCTCAAGAGATCAGTGGGCCTCAGCGGGAGACAAGCGGGGGGACAGCAGTTCGTCGCGGATGAGAACGGCGTGTTGCTCCGGAACAGGGACGACATCCTCCAGCGGTGGGCGAGATTCTTCAGCACCCTACTCAACACCAAATCCCCCACCCTGAACCCAGACATCATCGAACGAGTGACGCAGCGGCCAGCGACACGTGACACTCAACGGTTGGGAGATGTGCCAGAACTCGAGGAGGTGGCACGGGCAACGAAAGGCCTCAAGAACTGGAAGGCACCCGGCCATGACTCCCTCCCTGCTGAATTGCTCAAGATCGATGACGACGAACCCTTCGTCCTGGGACACCTCCATACCATCCTCGTCAAGGTGTGGAACGGAGGAGATATTCCGCGAGAGTGAAAGGATGCAACCATCAAGGTACTGTACAAGCAGGGTGACCGGTCCATCTGCAACAACTACAGGGTGATTTCGCTACTATCTCACGTAGGCAAGGTTCCCATCAAGATCATCACCAACCGTCTAAGCGCCTTCTGCGAAGCCAACAACATCCTCCCGGAGGAACAGTGCGGATTTCTACCCGGTCGATCCACCGTCGACATGCTGTTCGTCGTGCGCCGCCTCCAGGAGCTGGGGCGGAGAAAGAAAATACCGCTCTACATGTGCTTCGTCGACTTGAACAAGGCGTATGATTCGGTGGACCGAGAGATGCTATGGAAGGTGCTGGCCAGGGCCGGGATTCCCGCGAAGCTGATCGAAGTCATCCGCCAATTCCACGATGGAATGCGGGCCCGGGTGCGCATGGACGACGGAGAACTATCGGACTGGTTCTTCGTGACACAGGGCGTGAGACAAGGATGTGTGCTGTTCCCACTGCTGTTCAACATCTTCTTCGCCGAGGTCCTCGAGGTCGTTGTCATCCGATTCAGCGAGCCTGGTGTGCTTGGAGGAGGCGAAGACGGAAGCGGGGGGGGGGGAGGAGACACCCCTTGACCGTGTACGGAGGGCAGTAAGGGGGATGCTGTATGCCGATGATGCCGGCGTCGTATCGAGGTCTGCATAAGGACTGGCGAGAATGATGACCATCATCGTTGAGTTGTTCGGGGAGTTCGGGCTAACCGTGTCGGAGAAGAAGACGGAGACGCTCCTGATGCGCGCAAAGGACAAGCCGACTACCACATCACAGCCCGCCCCGCCTCCACCACTGACCATCGAAGCCGCGGGACAGAAATACGCCCAGAAGACCGAGTTCCGGAACCTCGGTGGCCTCGCAACGAACATGGCGACCTCACCCGGGAGATCAACTACAGGAGCAGAGGAGCGTGGGCGTGCCTCAGGCGATATGGCCGGGAGCTCTTCGACAGACCGCAAGCGCCATTCCGACTCAAGATCCGCCTGCTCCAGGCGGAGTCGATGGAGGCACTGCTGTACGGCTGCATGACATGGTCACCGCTCAGCGGCCACTATCAGACGCTGCGGTCGATACACCACCGACTGCTCCTTCGAGTTATCGGGTACAAGCGCAAGAAAGACACCTACCGGCAGCTCTCGTACGCCCAGACGCTGAAGAGCGTCGAATGCCAGAGCGTTGAAGCCACGATCCAACAACGACGCCTACTGTTAGCGGGAGCATTGGTACGGCAGCCGGACGGGCGACTCCCGAAGCGACTGATGTTCGGCGAACTGGCAGGGGGGGAGAAGCGACGTAGGGGGGGACAGGAACAGAACTGGCCGAAGTGTGTGCTCGACGACCTGAAGGCATTCGGGGCCGACCACGGATCTACGAAAACCGATCCATGTTGTTTCGGAATCCCGGTACCGAAAGACACGGCACCGAAGTTAAGGTGGACGGAAGCCGCGAAGGTAGAGGGGAGTACCCTGGCATGCGGCGGTGCTGCAGGGAGCTGAGAGGTTCATGACCTCCTCGCACGAGAAGGAAGAAGAGGCCAGCCGACAACGGGCTCTCAAACGAAACCACAAGCCACCAACCAATGGGGCGAGAGGGGGGCAGGATACGGACGAGACGGCGAGGGAAAAAAGCAAACGAGAAGAGACGGACCGAGTGGCNGCTGGGTGATGGCCATGTTTGCGTGTTTGCTTGTCGTTAGTGGTCTCTCCACCGTGTGCCTTTTTCTGTCTCTTTTTTCTTGTTATCTTCGGCCTGGTCCCTTTTTGTCCTCGCTCTTTATATTTCATTTTCTCTTTCCTTACTGTTTCCTTTTACGTTATTCTCTTTTTTTTGTCCTTTTCTCGTTTTCTCTCTTTTTCTGTGCCAGATGGCCTTGTCTCTGCGTGCGTTGTGAAGTACCAAGATTGAACCAAGGGGGTAAGCCTCATTCTCTTCGACCCGTGATGGTGAATCCTAGTCTCCGTTGTTACCTCGCATAGCGCGCAGAGGGAGTGGAGGACTCCAGAATATCTATCTTTGATTTGTATTGACTTGCGGACCCCTCGGGGCCATTTTGTTTGAGTGTACCTTGTTAGGTTTAGTTAGCCTGCGACCACGGGAATCGACCGCGTCGAGTGTTGTTTCAGTACGGACATTCGAAGGTACTGGGTAGAGAGAGTTCGGAACGGTTTTTAATGTGAAGACAACAACAACAACAACAACAACAACAACAATAGATAGGAGTAAGTAATCTATTACCACCGGTGTGCTGAAGTTGTGCCGCGAGTATTGTAAGTGAAAGGCTGTGGGAGTGTAAGCGATGTATGGCGAGCGAGCGTGCTTGCGAAAGAAATAAGGGTGGGGAAGAAAAGCCGAACGCCGAAGAGGAGAGAAAAAATATGCGTGAGACGGGGCCACTCACCACTACTAGACTACTACTTTACAACGTGCACACATACGGCTACATATAGATATAGCTCCTCCCCACAAGAAGTTCTCGGAACACACTACTGATGAGAGCCCTCGTTACTCTATCTACGGCTAGCTGTTGTTTTTTGCTCTATCTTCTACAGTTTGGTCTAGTGAATGGCGATAACTGACAGTTTCGGACTCAATATTTTTCCGAAATTATGGAAACATATATTGAGTGAAGCCGTCGTTCTGAGGATCGCTCCTAGCAGTCTCGCGAGAACCCATCACAGGAAAAAAAATACAGATCTAGTCTAAGAGCCGAGGGAGGCTTGGTTTGTGGAAAAATTTTCACCATTTTTCGATTTAGCAACTTTCTTCGAAGTAGTACATCACACGCACCACCGCACGCACACACAGCAGTCTGCTGAGAACATGTCAGCGCGGCCAAAGAGGAAGGCCAGCGCCCAGCGAAAGTCCTTGGAGTTGGCGCGCCACCAACACAAAAACAGGGAGGCTGCACGGTCAGAAAGTTGCGTTTGTTTCCGGCTAGATTGAGGTCAACAACAAGCCCGTCAAATCGAGGCAAGGGGGAAGAAAAGCGCACGAACCTACAGGTTGTGGCAACGCCGCCAGCAAAGAAGAAGCAGAGAGGAGGAAGAGCACGTAGTGGCCTCCTGGTGAAGGCGGACGCGTCCTTCCGCGCGCACGAGTATTTTCTCTGGTGTCTACTAGAAAGAACAGTGTTTGACTCGGATGTGCCTCCCGTTCCCAAACCTCCCGTCCCTCTCCCGAATGCTTGAAACGCGACATCACACTTCGTTCAGAGGCTGTCGTCGGCCAGTGTACAGTGATCACTTCCTGTCTCCGTACTGGTGTGGTGCGATTTCGTGTGCTGGGGTTGAGGGAGCGACGCAGACGCGGACACGCGTACGCACGCACGCACACTCAACAGCAGCAGCAGTTAGAGCCCCTTGTCATCAAGCAAGGTGCACAGCTATTAATAGCTGTCACGTAGCGCACCACGAAAAAACAACAGCACCTGCGGACAGAAGTTCGTGGGAGGACTGTTGACCCACTGCAGCCAATCACATGAAGCCGATTAAATCTGAATTTTTCACCTGCACGAAGTTTCCAGGAAACTTTCTTATCGCAAAATCTGCTCCCTTAAACCGGAAATTTTGGAGCCTCAGTCCGAAACTAACTGTGGAACAACGAAAAACTTGCACACATATGCGAAGAAGGCACTTAGAACTTGTTGGTGCTTCGTAGTATCTAGGCTAGTGTTATGGGATTTGAGTACAAGGATCTTAACGGTCCTACTAAGCAAGATATGTAGATCTGGCGGGAACTGCATCTCCTTTGGAGTAATGCTGAACAGGGGATTGGATATAGCCATAACATCCCCCCTCTCAGCAAGGAGCGGCCCGCGCCCCCTTCTGTTCATTCTATCCGAAGCAGGAGACAGCAAGTGTGCTGCTGTACTTGAATTAGTCAAGAAACATCAACATCAAACAAGTGAGTCATTATCAGGGTTTTTAGGGATTGCTACGCGTGTGAACCTCGTAGTAACACTAGACAACCAAAGTGCGTACAATTCCCACCCCTTGCTCTGAGACAAAAAACAAGTGAGTACTCGAAACACTAACTCGGGTTTCATTGCGGACACCTCTCGCGATAGGGAAACAAAAGTAAAACGAGGGCTCGAATCCCTCTGGGAGCCAACTTGACGCCTTTTTTCAGGAAAGAGAAAAAGTCTGGGCTACACACCTGAATGTCATGTTACACATCACCTGGTCCAGTCGTCAACGATGAAAACACATATATCCCCGCCTGTAAGCCCATGAACCGCTTGGGGGCAGCGCTGACTACAGGGATTACAACCCTGGGGGAAAACCAGAGTCAGACAGCCTAACAGCTGTCCGGACCCTGGTTGTACTTTTGTTACATGTACGACAACAATAACAACCATTTCTCATGCATCATTCTGATGCATGCACGCATGCATGCATGAAGGAAAACAAACATGGGCAAAGCCCATGCACATCACAACAACGACAACATAACCTCAACATCAACTTTTTTTTTCTTTTCGGGCACGCACGTCTTCCCCGTCCTTCACACAGCCGCGGCGCACAACAAGTCCTCAACAAAAGGTTGCCCGATTTTGTTTTATTTCAGCAGTATGACCCAATGAATCCATCTCTCTCCATCGAAGACAAGAGTCTACCATAGACTTGATTAGCAATGAATCCATAGCGCCAGCGATTCTGTGTTTTTTCCACAATTTCCCGAGCAGCGCACACAATGTGTCACAGTAATATCTCCCTCGTGGGTCTCAGGGTCAACAAGACAGCAGTTGGTTGGGTAGCCGTCTTGTGTATCTATCTCTCTGTATGTGATGTTGGGAAGGTGTAGAGCGAAGAGGTTGGGTGGAAGTAGGTGGTTCGTCGGGTGTGTGTGTGAATATGGGCACCCTTCCTTGAAGAATAGTATGCATTTAATATTACACCCGGACACGTCAGTTTTTATTGTGTAGCAAAGTATCGTTGTTTCAATGTGTAGGGGGGCACGGGAACATATATTTTTTACTCCCCGTGTATGCATAGTCTACAGAGAAAGGTGGGTACATTTCGGACGAAAGAAGAAGTGGGTTGGTAACAGAGTTCAAAGCAGACGAAGTAAGGTGGGCACGTGAAAATATGAGTAGATTCCCGGTGGCTAAGCCCACCCGGTAAATTTTTCGGACAAATTCGGGCAACCTGTTGATTGAGCCTTGAGCGCCGCGGCTGGCTGTGTGTAGGGTGAAGACGTGCCCGAAAAAAAAAAAAAAAAGTGACGATGTTCATCATGCTGTGCATTGGTCCTGCCCGTCCATGTTTCTATGCATGCGTCGGAATGAATGATATTTTGAGTGGTTGTGTCCTGTCAGGAGCGGTCTCCGTAAAGGAAATTTCCGAGCACGTACGTACCCACTTCAGTCTCAGAAAGGGGTGGGTATATATATCAACTTGCCACGATCTATCTATAGTCTATCTATCTATCAAGCAAGCAAGCCAGACACTTGAGATGGTCAAGCAGCGAGTCCGGGATGAAGATGATTGATGGTGTTACATGACCTCGTGTGCTAATCCATGATGACTTGCACACACACAAGATAATTCTTCCGGGCAAAGACGTCAGTTTCACTGCGGTTGAAAACAGAAAATATATGCATGATCTGAGACATATGGAGCAGACCAAGCAACTACGATAACTCTACAAAAACAAGAGGCAGAGACAGCAGTAGCAACAGAAGAGAAGTGCACATGTCTAAAAAGGCTGCTACAATGCTCGGACGTGTGCTCACCTATCTCTTGCTTCTTCTTTCTGTTCTTGCTCTATCGCACGACGTCACACATGAAACACTACTCATCGAAATATTGGTGCTGCCTGCGTTCACAGTACTTCTTCATCGTACAACGGCGAACGAACTAGACACCCATCTCTGAAACCGAAACAAGCAACAAACACTCCGCGAAGCGCGGCATGGCGAGCGTACGTGAAACCGAAATAGGACACACGCTGCAAGCAGATGCTGCCTCTGTTGATCGCGAGGCAAGAAGAAAACTAGGCATAACCTACACCACACAGAGTCTACACGGACGGAGGCCACAGACCATCGTCATCACAAGAATAATAGAACACGCCCATGACAAAAATACTCCCGACATCTACTAATAGCCTCTCATGAAAGTGGCAGAGTCGACGCATGAGTTCTCACTCAACACAAGGGAACGCGACGAAATTCGGTGGCGCCCGCCGCTTTGGAACTCCCTGGCAGGCAAAAAACTGCCGAGACGGGGACCCTAAGCCCCAGAAGTACATTTGTAATAAGGCAACCAAGGAGATGAAGGCGGGCTCTGAGCGAGCAAACGCGCCCGTACCGACTACAATTATGCCCGGCAGCGCGGGTGCACAGCTAGTTGGACGAAAAGTGGCGAACGGAACAGAGGAACACGAACCAACTCAATCCAGACCAAGCAGGCTGTTGCTAGGGATACGCAGCCGCACGAAGTGACAGGTGAAGCCCACGCAGGGGTGGAAACCTGAACCGACCAAACACGTTACCAACTCGAACCCGCGAATACACACGCATACGAGAGCGAAACGAGGACTACCGGTACACGGGGCAGGGGCGAAACGAACACCTCACGAACGCGCCCACGCTAACACGCAAACCGGGGAACAAACATGTCGCGAAACGCGCAAACACTCTAACACGCACGCACACGTAAGCGAGACGGGGACTACGAGTTCACGGAAACTTCGGGAAAGTACACTTGCGGCCGCGGTGGCCGCCTCGCTTGCACTTGAAACCGTCTGCGAAGGCACACGTGGAGTGGTTGTGCTGGTAGTCCCTCCCGGCGGTCTTGCAGTTTTCGCAGACGTGGCCGTGAGGGTCGGAGATAACCGCGTCCTGGGCAGCCCGGAGCACCTTGTTGTAGTCCTCCCGCGCTTAGATCGCCTGGGCAGAGGGAACCCGCGACGGGGAAGAGCGGGCCCGCCCCCGCCCCCCCATCCCGGCTTTGCTTTTGCCCCCGCGACCTTGGCTGGCGGCCGCCGGGGTTGGAATCGCCGGGAGAGCAAGCAGCGGGTTTGTTGACAACGTTCGCGAAAACGTGCCATGAAGGGACATGTAGAAGTAGTCCCTTCGTTGATGCGGCACAAAAAAAAACGCCGCCTCTTCGACACCTTCCTATAATATTGTAGCTGGAGGAATTATCTTTTCATCTCCAGCGCGGCTTGTCCCTAGCCGACGACAGCCTCCTTCCTGTTCCGTCGATTTCCTTCTTGGCGGACGACTTTGCCAAGCCGGCGGCGATCCGTGCGCTCCTGCGCGTCAAGCGAAGTGTTTTAAATAACGGTGCGAGATATTTCCGGGATGCATGCGATGAGAGATCATAGCCGGGTATGCTAGGCGCAAGGTAATTTGAGGGGTTCCGCGGCGATATCAGGCGGCACATAGCCGCGGTGATTGGGCGGGTGTCTCTCACGCGTTTGAGCACCTGAAGAGAGACGTGGATTGTTGACGAACGTGCCAACAAGTGCCTGCTTGCACCACGTCACGTCCACGCGTCAGAGGCAAGGCGTATATTCACCGTGTTTCCAGGCGGGTCTTGGTGGCCAACGACGTGCGACTTACAACTACCACACACGAGAGGCGGTGGAGAGTTTGGGGTGTCCCATTCACGATAGTGTAGTCTAGTTGTCGCAAAGCTACAAGTTGTCGCCGCAACTGCTACGTACCTCCTAGTGGTGGACGCTGTTGTTGCCGATGCCGGTGGCTCCTTCGTCGACGGCTCGACGGATGCCCGGTTGGAAGCAGCCAAGACGCTTCTCGTCCTCACCGACCTCGTCGACGTGCAAGTCGTCGCAGCCGCGGTCGCAGCCGCGGCTCCCTTCTTCTCCCTGCCGGATACCCGTCGCTTGGACGCCTGCGTGCTGCTCGAGGTTGTTGTCGTGCGGGCTTCCGCGGCCTGCGCGAGCATGGACATCGTCTTGCCGCCACCTGCCGGGGTCCTAAAAGCAAGACGGGAAATCGGAAGAACGAAAAACCGAGAGCACGTACACACGGAAATTTTGTCATGAGAGGGCTCCTCACGAACGTGCGGACACTCGGAGGGCGCAGGCAACGAGTCCATACACGCGGAAGCTAAACAAGTCCTACAACATTGGCAGCAATAGCAGCGGTCCCCGCAATTAGAAACCTTTCTCACCTCCGGACGGTCGAGAGCCTCTTCTCCGCGCCTTCTTCGGCGTGCGACCCGCCAGTGGCTGGGTTCTCCTTGTCAAGGGTGAACCCTGCCGGGCGGCCCACCGGAGAAGAAGCAGAAGCAGCTGCTGCTCCGCTCGCTCGTGCCGATGAGGAGGTCGCCCTGTTGAGCAGAATGGACCCGAAAGGCGACCGTGCTGCGCCGGGGTTAACGCCGCCCACCCGCGACGGCGACGCCACCCCCGAGACCCCGCTTAATCGCCTGGCCCCCGGTGCGTCCGCAACCTCGTCGAGCGAACTGGACCCTGGCTGCGATCCCTGGAGGAACGCGGGGCTAGCTGCAGTGCCGCTGAGCACCCCTGGCGCTCCAACCGACGCCACCATCTCGAGCACCCCGCCGCGTCTCAACGGCGACCTGGCCCCAAACACGGCAGCAACAGCTGCGGCGCAGTCGGCGCCAGCACTCCTCCTCTGCCCGACGGAAGCCGCGGAAACCGTGTGCACCGGCGAACTCCTCGACGGTATCGGCGACACGGCGCCCCCGCCTTGCGAAGCTCTCCTGGTGGTGGTCTTGGCGCCCGCCCCGGTTGGCGGCGGAGATGTTCCGATACGAGACGCCGCGGCCCCACCGGAACCTGCCGGCACGGTGGCGGTGCCCTTGTCGGTCGATGTCCTCCGGGCCGGGGTCTCTTGAACCTTTGTGCTGCTCGGCTTCAGCGGCGTGGTCGTGGTGGCGGCAGCTGCGTCGGTGGCGGCTACGGCAGTAGCTCCAGCAGATTGAAACCGTCCTTTTTTCACGGCGTTCGCGTACCCGGGCAGCGGGCGCGCCGGCGACGCCATGGCGGTAGCCGCGTCGTGGAAGCGCATCGGTGGCTTCTGCTTCTCCTTCTCGGAGGAGGACGAGGGGGTGGTGGTGTTTGAGGCGCTGCCCGCCTTCCGCTCACATTCGATGATCCCCTTCGGGGCAGATCTTGGCGAGGGTAGGACCGGGGTTATCGCAGGGGTGGAAGGAGACCTGGCGTCGACGACGACAGCGGCGGCGGTGGTCGCGGTGCACGTAGTTCCCGCGAGGAGTGGAGCGGTAGACTTGGTAGTCGGAGAGCTACCGGCGACGGCGACGGCGACGGCGGCGGCGGTGGGGGTACTTCCCGCGAGGAGTGGAACAGTGAAGACGGGAGTCGGAGAAATACCGGCGGCAGCGGCGGCGGCGGCAGCGGTGGTGGCGGCGGTGCCGCTGGGGGGAGGCGCGGGATAGATGGCGGGAGCATCCACGGTGGGGGCGGCGGAATCTGTGAGCGTGGTAGCCGAGTTGCGTACAGCGATGGGGTTTAAGGCATTGTCCACCTTCAGCTCACGCTCGATGATCCCCTTTGGGGTGGATCCTGGCGAGGGCAGGACCAGGGGCACCGCAGGGGTGGAGGGAGACATGGCGCCGACGACGACAGCGGCGGTGGCGGCGGCGGTGGCGGTAGTTCCCACGAGGAGTGGAACAGTAGATGCCGGGGGCGGAGAGGTACGGGCGGCGGCGGCGGCGGTTCCACCGGGGGAAGGGGTGGGGCAGATGGCGGGAGCATCCGAGATAGGGGCGGCAGAAGGCGTGGGCGTGGTGGTCAAGTTGCGTGCGGCGGCGAGAACGCCGGAAGGCGTGGAAGCTCCGTTGTTGTTTGAGGAGCCCACTGCGGCAGAAGTCATCGGGGAGGCGACAGCATCGTCGGGGTGGTTGGGCTCACAACAAGCGTCGGTCGGTGGAGAGAGAACCTCCTCTCTGCGTGAAAGGTCGGGGACACCGGTGGTGCCCGTTGCGGAGGCGCCCACGCTCTCGTTGCTGGTGACTGGAGACGACAGGTCGATCGGCATCATCGGCGGCGGGCTGGTGGTGGCTGCTGCGAGGAGGTTGGTGACGATAGCGGTGGACAAGGGGAGGGGAGTTGGGGCGGACATCGTGGCCGCAGTAGTGGCGACAGAAAGAGCCTGATCATGCCCGGCTGACACAGGGACCGGGGCAACCCCGATCGGCTCGTCAGCAACGGTGGCAGTGACCCCGGTGGTCGTTGCAGGGGTGGTGGCTGAGGCGGTAGGGGTCGCGCTATCGCCATCATCGTCGCCCAACACACCGGTGGCAGAGCGGAAAATCGTCTCCGCGGCGGCGGCAGCAACGGCGGCAAAGTCCGTCGACTGCGCCCCCCCGGAAAAGCTCTCGTCTGCGGCGGTGGCAGCGGCCATAGCCGCGGATGCAGCGAGTGGGGAGGCGAAGGCGGGGTCGACGCTGCCGCGCGCGGCGGACGCTAGCGACATTTGCGACGCTGGCGAACGCAGGAGGAGCGACGAGATTACAGCGGGAGGGGTGCGAGGAGGAAGGGTTGCCGAACGGGGGGGCGGAGGCGTGAGCGGCGCTACCGGGTCCATCGCCCCCACGGCTCCATGCTTCAGACCTGAGGCGGCGGATTGCTGGACGTCGAGCAGGTGGGGGTGGTGGTTGGTTGTGGTTACTTAGTTTTGCGATGGCCAGATGGATGGTGGTGGCAACGTCGATGCGAATCAATCAAAATTTGGCAACGTGAGGGGGACTTCACAGGACAAAGGGCCCACAACACGTGACATACATCCGGCCAGGAGAGTATTTCTCGAGACAGGAAGAATGAAAGACAAAAACGAGGGAAAAAAAGAGCCGGACACAACCACCCGTGGACATTCATTCTAGTGGGTAAACTCGCAGCCTGCTAAGGGCCAGGTCATGGGTTCGAGTCCCGGCAGAGTGAGTTTTGTTTTATCTAAATAAATGCTGGTCTAGGATGAAAGCGACGCGCTGCAAAGCTCAGTGTTAGGAAACCATAATCGACTTCTTAAGTCGCTAGGGAAGGGATTGCTGTACCCTTCTAGCGATAAAAATACCTCAGGCAGGAACCGCAGGAGGAGGTCCAGCCCCCCCCTCCTATGTGACCCCGGTTGGGTTGTCTAGCTAGTAGAAGTGGAGGATAGGGGCCAGAGGGGCAGACGACAGAGTCCAATGATGGGAGAAAAAAAAGGAAAAAGAAACAAAAAAGTCATTCGTTCCTCGGTAAACGAAAACACACAAACAACACAACGTTGTCTGCTTTCGTGGTATATTGCCCACCATTTTTGTTAGTTCCAGGTGAATGTCCCGTGAAAGGTTGGCCAGGACGCCTTCCACTACGCTGGTGACGCCGGTCATCATCTCTGTCTTGGCCTGTCGTTTGCAGTACAACCCGGCCGACGACATCGAGAAGGAGAGATGGTGAAGGGGAGGAGGAGAAAAAGAGTGCAATAGCAAGGTCGGGGGTAGAGAGCTCGACAGAGGAATGAGGGGGGGAGAGGAACCTTAGCGAGAGTCGTGCCCACCTATCTGTCGCATTTCGATGCGGTAGTACTGCAGTAGCATAGTGTAGTCACCTTTTTCAACACCTGGTCGATGATAACTTCGAACCCGCTCATGGGGACCCGGTCCTCCTCGTCTTCCAGCCACTGCGGTTTCTGTTGCTTCTGCTGGTGCTGCTGCTGGTGGTTGTCGTCGTTGTTGCCGTCGATTCCGGGTGCCTGCCACGCGTGTGAACAACGTGAAAAGAGGTGCCATCTTGAGGAGGTTCAATCATTCATGAAATGCAGAGCGGTGGCAGGTCAAGGGGTAGCCAACTGTCCAAGTGAAAATCCAATTACCGGATATGACACAAGGTAACAACACACCCCCTGGACCAGTGTTCAAAGCTCGATTATGCCACGAAGGAGGAAGATGTATAAATGAAACAATGTATTTTCGGAAAGCTCTCGACGAGGCAGCTTCAACGCCACCTTTTGCGGCGCTGTGACCCTTTTCTGTTGCTGAGAAATCGAGACTTGAAAATCAGTCCAGAGGGTGTGTTATCTTGTGTCATTTGTTCGTGGGTCTGCGAACATTTATGTTGGATACATGTGCTGGATGATTTTGTGTCACGCAGACTGGTAAGATAAACGTTTGATAGGGGGCACCGCGATGATTCACGGGGCCCCTCCTTGCTGTGGGAGCCGCTCTTTGAACACTCCCTTTTTTGTCCGTGTGAAGGACGGTCGTCGCCCTCTCGTGAAGTTAATACATCACCAAAACAATCTCACCCGATAAATATGTGGCGTAGGCCGCAAACACTCTAGAGTTTGACCCTCGAGGGAATTCACATCGGGATGAGCTCTGCTGGAGACGAAGAGCGCGCTGCTGCGAGCGGAGAACAGATCCGCCCGCCGGTGCAGGAGGGCCGCGACGCGGAGCTTGCAAGTTTGCAACGGCAGATTTCGCAATTGGCGGCCCTGGTGGAGGAGTCGGTGAAGAAAAAGGAGCCTGGCAGCGTCGTGGCGGATGCAGCCAGTAGGGGTGGCTGGGTTGCTGCCCCCAGAGGCCAACGAGAAGAGCCCACGCTGCCGCTCGGCGGTGGCGGGGGATTTCTCCAGCAGCAAACGAGAGATAGTGGGCAAGGACCACGGTCGCTGCTGGAAGGCGGCTGGGCCAGCAGATCGGGAGCGAACCCTGTTGGACCAGCCGGAGTGGGCCCGGGCATAGGACCGGACTACGGGGAAGCGAGGGGGTTAAACCCCCCAGGTGAGATACCCGTGATTCGAGGAAATGGAGAATACCTCGACGGCTACAGCAGTAGCCACATGAAGAGGGTAACGGTCAATGCTCCGCTCCTAGACGGAAAAAGCCGTAGCCACGGATTTGACTCGTGGCGAAAATCATTCATCCAAGCTGCGAAGACCATCGACGTGGACGGGCTGTGTATAGGAGATGCAGAGAGCAGTATCCCCGTGGGCGACCCAAACTTGCCGACTTCCGAACTGCTCCGTAGGGGGTACACGAGAGCAGAAGTCCAACGGGGGCTTCAGGCGTTCCACTTTATCACTACTGCTGTGGTAAAAGAAGCTGACAAAGCAATTATCAGCAACTGTACGTCAGCGAAAGAGGTCCTTGCGGAATTGGAAAAGGTCTACGATCCGGAGTCACAGGGGTCAAAACAGGCCTTGATGCGGAAGAT